TGAACAGAAACAGTCTTTTCGTTTCCTTGTAGCAATAGAAAGTGTGGTGTGCCAAAAAGTAGTGGCAAACGATATGCTTGGAAGTCTGTTTTACGACACCAGAGCTGTAGTATCTTTTGTACACCTTCAATGTAATCTAAATCGCACTCTGCGAAGTAATGTTTCCAACTGTCATGTTTCTCGTGCAGGGGAAGGGCAACCACAGGACTAAAGGAAGACGAGCTGAAACCATGAAAAATGTCACGTGGGATACTTGACTGTGAAAATTGTCCCAGTATAGTTTCACAGCTTTTCCGATGAACATTGCCAATCCTTTGTTGAATGTATGCTTAAGTATTTGATACTATTGAAAATTATATGTTTTCTGAAATGTTATATTCTGTTTGAGCTGGTATATACAGATATATCTGTACATTGGTATTTCTCCAGCAACCTTGCTAAATCTGCTTATTAATTCCAAAAGGTATGTCTAGATCCCTTTTGAGCTTCAACATGCACAATCAGATCATTTTTCAGTAGAAGCAGAGTTTTGTGCTCTTTGAAACATTTTGACTCTTTTTTCCATATCTCATTTTACAACATTGGACAGAGACACCCAGTACAGTGTGAACAGAAGCGTTAATAGTGGATAACCTTTCTCTTATTTTTGATAGGAAATGCAGAATTTTAACATTGCGCCATGTTTACAGTGAAGTAGAGGAAGTTCCACTTCAATCTAAGTTTGATAACTATATATCTTAATAAAATTAACTTTTCATCAAAACTTGTACATTTATTGTGATGATTGCAAATTGTGCTCCTACAACAATTCGGGGTATTTTTAATTAAAATTATTGGAGTGACAATTGTTAGCAAAGTTACATAGATTTCAGGTGCACAATTCTGTAATACATCCTCTATATGTCACATTGTGTGCTCACCACCCAGAGTCAGTTCTCCTTCCTTCACCATCTGTTTGATCCCCTTTACCCTCATCTACCACACCCTCTGCCCTTACACTCTGGTAACCACTGAACTATTGTCTGTGTCTATGAGTTTCCCAACACTTTGTTAGTTTGCTGAATTCCATAGGGAAGTTCCTATGTTGAAACAAAGCTTGTCTTCTGACGGGGGCATTGGTCATGATATATTATCTTCTTGAAATATCTACGTCTTAATCATTTGT